GACCTGAATGTAATGTTATGACTCCTGAATGTCATGAAATCGACTTATATATAGGTATCAATAAGTCACATCAGCACCATGTATTTTGACAATGTTGCGGGATCTTGTGAAGATCTATTCCAGCATATTCCAGCACTGAAATCAGCCCCAGGTACGCATGGTCCTGGGACTCTTCAAGCTTGCGCCCGGGCTCCCCGGGCGCACGCGCCGTGCGCTGGCGCCGGTCGACCCGGCAGAAGCCGAAGCCGGGCGGGCCTGGCGAACGCAAGGCATGCGCAAGGCGTGCCTGGCTTCCTGGTGTTTGGGGGTGTCTTTTCAAACAAACCCATAGCCACTGAAGCCCATGTCAAACATTGGCCAATGGATGAAATAGCTACTGTTTACTGGTTTCAGGGAACATGATGTCAAGCACCTTCAGCATACAATTACACAAGACCAGAGAGCGGTTCTGGTGATTTTCGGTGTACCGTCTATAGACCCCCTTGGGTATCCAGTTCTACCTTCTCAGAAGGTACGACTGGACCACTTGCCCCCTCCAAACCTACATAAACAGATCATTTAAGTAAGCATCCATAATCCATAAGGATTCTGGCATCCAAACCTCAAACGCCTGTCCCATCCCGTCTAAACGGACCGCGTGTTGGTTCCCCAGGCTCTTTGGCTCTTTCGAGCGTGTTGGTTCGGTGTCAACTCCAACGCCGCAAGTTGACCCGAAGTGCCAGGTGCAGGAATTCCATGTTTGAACATCTGAGCTGTTCGATTTCAGGTTTTTTCATGCCATCGTATTGTTTAAAGACTATTCAAACAACATTCCAACATGTTCCCAGGCGGTGCCAATGCCTTGCAGAAAGGAAAGAAACACATGTCCCGCCTGTGCTCGGTCAGCTCGCTGGGTGCTTCCCTTCTGCGCCTCCCAAGTGTGGATGTCAAGTGTCATGGTGTGCCGCTTCAAATGATCCTCATAACAGAAAAAATGAGAAAAGGCCCTTTGGGTGTATCCAGTGGTTTGTTTAAGGGGTTCCCTCCTATAAAAGAGATTGGTAATTTCATTACGAAAGTTCCTAATCCGTTGGTGTTCCAAATCTCTACCCCGACCCTGGCACCAGCTCTAGTCCGCGTTGCTGGTGGAATCAGCACGGGAAGTCGTTGGCCTTTCGTTCATTCTCAGGTCTGGGACAGGATGGGAGAAGCTGCATTGCAAAAGAAACACGTTCTTCTGGAGTAGAAAGATTGTACACAGTGTTTAAGTTAATAGATACACCTAGAAGGCTGAAACATTTGTGACCCTGTCACCTCATCTCAATGTTAAACTTAATCCTCAGTCTTTCTGGAAAGAGGTTCGCCTCTTGCCGTTCTTGTTGAGCGGAGAAACCAATTCCCCAGTCCGTTTGCTTTTGCAGGTGATCCGCGTACCTCCTGGCTAGGATGTACCGCTGAGCAAACACGAGGGGTTTCAAACACCGGTGAAGGACACACGCAGAGAGTCCCGAACATGTTCACTCGGTTTTTCTGTGGCTGACCCTTTGCTTTGCCCCCGCTTCCCCCCGGGTGCAGCAATGGGTCGTGGTCCTGCAGTATGTACTGGGCTGTGGGAGGAAGCACTGCTGAACAGCACAACATTTCCGTCAATTCTCTCTCTCTCTCTAAAAGTCAACGGTAGTTGTCACCACTTTTTTCAATCCCAGACACTCCATGTATGCCATATATGCCTACATTGACCCCAAAAACCCACCCAAATGTAGGCATATATGGCAAACATGGAGTGTCTGGGAATTGATGAAGTGTTCGACAAGTGATGTTTGTCATAACCCCCTGAGTGGAAGTGAGTATGAGTATGCGTGTCACCCGCCAGATAGGGCCCTGCTGCGAAACACAGCACCCAACTCCAAGCAGGAACTGGGGCGTTTAAAACGTGGAAACCCAAACATATCCAGACCATCCATGGGTCTGGCCTATTCACCGACCAGTTGGAGTGAGTGGTTTTTTGAAAAGGGGTCGGCCAAAAGAAGCGAGCCAGTCCATAGAAATGGTCTGTGGAAGACATCCCGAGATGAGCCGAGATCACGAACCGCCCATCAGCCGAGGTCCCCTTTTGCCCATGGCTTCCTGCTCCGCGCAGCGGAACCGCGCAGCGGAACCGCGCAGCGGAACCGCGCAGGTGACGAGGTCACGATGGGCCGGGAGAAGGGCGGGCGGAGCGGCGAGGACGAGGTCATGAAGGAAGATGAAGATCTTGGAAGGGCGCTGAACAATTCGACCAACCAAGCACGGAGTCTTCCTCCGACTTCCTGACCTGGACCTTTCCTGACTCAATAGCTCATGGGCACCGTCTCATTGCACCGTGGCCGCACCGAGGGCCTTGGGTGCGGCCAGCGCGAGCGCTCCAGCGCGTCGCGGAGGACGTCCAGGCGATGCGGGCGGAGTGGAGTCGTGTAGAGCTCCGGGAAGGTGGTCTGGTTGAAGAAGAGGTCCTGGAAGAGAGGTCCGACGTCAGAGAGGTGTTGGGAGAGTCATACATAGTCAATAGCTAAGAAAGAAATAACTTTGTGGAGGAATATTTGGAAGGGATGAATCGCTTAAGAAACCATTCGAATAAGAATGCTTGAATGATCTTGAATGCTTGACATATCATGGACTCATGGATGTGGAAAGGATGGATGGATACACTTCGAAGTAGTTCTTTTTTCTACAAACCTGGCTGTGTCGTGCTACAAGTTTGATCGGTCTGCAGCTAATTGGATGTGTATTGGTTTAGACAGAGGAACACATCCACCAATTTCAACCAATTTCAACCCCCAACAAGTGGAGCTTCTGACCCCTCTGACCAAATCTTTATAAATGCGGTTCTCTCAGAGGTCATGATCCTGTATTTGCCCGGATCCTACGCGCGACACCTTCCGCTCAGACTGCCCTGCTTGGCCCCCGGGGCTCCAGGAGGGGCACGTAGCCGCTCCCCATGGCGTTCCGCTGCGCCCACTGGCGCGACGCGTCCGCGGTGTCGCTATCGCCGTGCCTGGACGCTGCGGTGGATGAAGGACGTGGTGGACGCTGCGGTGGCCATGGTAAATGAGCACTGGTAGGGTGGGTAACTGCTGTAGAGACCACTGTAGATGTAACCACTGTTGATATAATCACTGTAGATAAACAGCAGTCAGTGATTGTTGTCACCCTTCCACTGTAGATTTACAAAGCACTGTGCCTACCCTCCAGGAAAGGAGAAGGGGTGGGTAGCATGGGGTTTAAATCATCTGAGCGCAAGATCGAGTCACCATGATACCTTGACCTACTTTGTCGCCCGTGGAGGGGTGCCCCTGTATTGCCGGAAAAAGAAGGGAGCCCAGGATCTGAGGCTCATGCGTGCCCATGCGAGCATGCGAGCGGCTCGCCCATGCGAGCGGCCTTCATCTACACTGTGGGGTCTTAGATTCCTCGAGTGGAAAAAACATAATGAAAGGGGGTTCTTGGAGGCGATCGAGCGCTCTTGATTCAGTCGGATGGCTCGAACTCCTGCTCCCAGAGACGAAAGGAACTCTGAAATGCCATTGGAAACTCCAAAGTGGATGTGGATGTGTAGCTCAAAAAGGAGAGACCTCCTGATCTGCTTTCGAGCCTCTGGGTCACGGTTCGCTTCGGAACATGGACCAGTCGACCATAGTCGACCCGTCACCACAATGTCTCCGTAGATCCATGTCCTATGCTTGGTGGGTCTGGCACTCGTCCAGGTGCATGTTTCTTCAAGGTCCGAGCTGCAGCATGTGGAAGGCCACGATCCTGGGAGTGGTCAGCTCTTTTGCGGCAAAAAGAGGCAAGAAGTAAAAGACTTGCCTACCCAAACCTTTCAATTAATGGGTATATAAATATATGTTTATGGACTCTAACAAGTGGGTCATAAGCACATCTTAGTGCAGCAAGCCATTGGTGGGAAGCGAAAGGTGGGACCCATTCGGGAATCAATCAAATGGAAGCGAACTGCCAAACCCAAAGTTCTAAGCATCTTCACTTAGAAAAAACTCACACAACTCATGACCTCTCATCACCTCTCATCACTTGCGAAGAAACGGTCACACCAAAGACGGTCGTTCAATGCTCCAGGAACTGCCCTTGGTGGGCCCTCTGCCTGAGAAACTGGTTGATTCACAGAATCAGGAAATAATGCCAAAAGCTTGGCAATCCTGACTGGGCCCGGCCCCACAAAGAGTACATCATTAAGTACATCATTCCCCTCAAGAACCTGGTTGGTCAGAAAGAACCCGCGGTGAAATACATGTTTCGAACACATTCCTTCACCGTTGCGGACCTTCAGTCCAGTCTGTGACAGTCGGGACTCTGCAAACTCAGCTGTTCACCAGTTCCAGTTCACCGACCAAAGAGATCGACCACATGAGCCTTTGATTCCATGTAATTCGTACCAAAGTATATACTCAAAGCCAAAATCAGTCAAACCCATGTTTTCCCAACATAGTGAGATTCTCACGCACAACCAAACACATCAAAACACAAACGTGGTCAAAGGATTTCTTCAGACCCCCCATGACCCCCCCCTCCCCCCGGTGCCCGGGCGGCTCGTCGGGGTCGCCGTACCAGCCGGCCACGTCCACGTGGCGCGCGGAGACAAAGCGGGTCTCCGGGTCGAGGAAGAGCCAGTCTGGGCGGTGCGGTGTGGCGTCGGACGCAGTGGTTTGTGAGGTTTTGTTATTTTGCTTGGGCTTGGGAAGGGCATGGACCGATGAAAAAGAGAAGAGTTCCAATAAATTGGAAGACTATGATGGAAGACCTTAGAGTTTTTGGGAGTCTTTGAGGAACTTCGGTGGTCACCTGATGGGAGAGGACTGATGGAATACTGAATATTGATTGAATACAGTGCAAAAACGGAGGGACCTATGGAAGAAAGTCATAGAATTTGCTGACTTTTTTGGGAATGAATTCAGAAAGTCAGTGAAACCACCAGCGTCTGGTCACTCACTGGAGGTGGTAGAGATTCTGAGTGCCAGGGCTGCAAGCACTCTTATTGCGGCAAAAAGAGAACAACTGGTTAACTAACAAGTCGTATCCTCTCTATCACAAGACGACTGATACACCCCAGGAACATCACCCCCCAACACCCGACCGCCGCGCACCGGGCGTGCCCTTCATCCCCCAAGCGGCTTGGCAGCTGGGACGGCTGCAAGGGCAGCTCCTGTTCGAAGGCCACGCGCTCGCCGGAGCGCAACAGGGCGCTGAAGGCCTTTTGGTCGTGCTCATAGGGGTGCTCATACCTCAAGACCAATGCGCAGTCGCCAGCGGCGTGTCGCGTTGGGTGGCGACGGTGTTGCAATTAGGCGGGTTGGTTTGCCGCTCTGCCAAGTTCGTCCGAGAATTGATCATGCAAGGAGTCTTTCGTCCAGCCATGCCGAAAGAAAGGCCTCGGTTCTTCCGATGTTCTGAAGGGCCCACCATGGCCCACCAGTGGATTCCATTGGATCGGCCCCAGCAACGTGAACCAGAAAGCTCATGTCCTCCTCAACCGACGGCAGTCTGAAAAAAGGCGATCAACAGCGGCTTTGGGGCGGAACATAGACCAGTTTCTGTGTTCGCCGGAAGAGTGATAATTCTTCGCTTTTCTTTCTTTCTTCTTCAGAAACTTTGCTAGTCCTTTCATCATTTGCTTGGTGGGTTTTGTCTTGGGTGTGGTTTCCACAGTGCAGTGGTGGTCTGAGAGTATACCTATATAGGATCCTATAGGGACCTGAGGACGGATGTTCCAATCTTTTGCACCCACCGTCCTCACAGCGGGCAAGTCATCAGGTCAACGCGTTCGCTCCACTCGTGCTGCTCACCCGTTCGGTTCGCCGGCCGAGACACATCCAAATCAACAGATTCTTCAACCACAAGGATACCTAAGCGCGACTGAGGCGTTCGGTTTCACGTGGCACTAACAGTCGCGTGGCTGAGACAGCATCGACACCATGGCGGGTGTGTCTCACTCCGCCGGTCCAAGGGGCCACTGTTCACTTATTCCCTTGGAATTACCAGGAAACCGGTTCTGTCAGCCTTGCGGGTCGAAACCGCTTCTGTCTGCCTTGCGCACCCAGCATTTTGGGATTGCTTTTGCGCCGTTGGGGTGTCCAAACCGGAAAGAATGAACGCTTTTAGCCAACAGGGGATGTACCAATAAGGGAAAATACATGACTCCCTAATTGGGCAAAACCAGGTTTGAATGTTTTGGGCTGATTTTTCGGTACACACCTTTGGGGTTCATGGCCGCTGCCAGGCTAAATTCCACTTATCTAGGCACATCAAATATTATCTGCTGACAATCTACTCTGAGAGTCCAGTACTACTTGACACCTGTCACTGTTTAGAGTCCAGTACTCTTTTTGAGTCCATGCCTCGTGAACATACCCCGGCCTCTCCAGTCTGATACTTTCTTTGAACTTCGAGCAGCGGTCGGTCTAGCCGGTACCCTACACTCTATAGTCTAGTAGAGTGGAGTCAAATGATGTCAAACTGGAGGAACGACTCGTTCCGTTGCTAGCACCGGTCAAGAAAGCTTGTCTTACGGGTGCACCGGTCAAGGTTCTGGTCCACGGAAAACTTCGGTATGTAAGACGTGCCATGAACCATGAACCAAACAAACATGGCTCGTTCATCGTTCCTTCGCGAGTCACAAACGCCGCCGCCGGAGACGCATCGCCAGACAACCACCGATCAACGTTGCTTGATCAAATCATCCAAACATCATACTGACTCGTCGACATACTGTCTCACCCCTCCCCCTGCAAGCACTGCATGGGCAAGCATTCTCATCAGTCCATAGTGAAAACTAAAAACCATTCAACTCCCTCTCATCGCTTCGCCCGTTTTCGCGCGCGCGTCAAACGTTTGCCATCTCGGTGGCCTGTTCGGTGGCTCGGAAGAGCACCACCCCGCTGCAAATGCCTGCGATCCGCCGCTTCGGGTGCCGAGGAGGGGAGCCGAACGCGGAGGGCGAACGAAGGGGCGAAGGGAGGGCGAACGTCGGACGACTTGCCGAAAAAGGAAGTTCGAACTATTTGAGTTGTCACCCCCATCACATGGATCCAAAGTGGACTCTTTGAAAGAACTACGCTCCCCGTGGACTTCGGGATTTTTCTCAATACAGTAATAGTAATAGGCTACTATAGGTTTCTGAGAAGAACATGTGGTCGAACCCCCAAAGGTCCTTAAACACAGTGCACAACCAAAGAACCCTCGGTTCTCCGCCGTGCGGCAATCCGCAGCAAAAGCTCCGGAGACCAGCAGCTCTGCAGTGGGCTCCCTCTGCAGTGTACGGGCCACGAAGGGCGTGGGCGACTGAAAAAGGAAGACGTCCAAGTCCAACCAGAAGACATCGAAGTGCTCATGCAGCAAGACCAGCGGCAAAGTGAACCTGGATTGGACTGTTCTTTGTGGGGAACACCGGCAGGTTTGGACAGTTTCAACTTCAAATGGCTGACGTCGTGAATGGTTTTCGGGACAGCGCTTTACCTTTTGTCAGAGGATGTGGTTGGAGCCCGATCGGGCTTAGGGCTTAGGGAAAGTCTACGAAGCCCCCCGAACGTCGAGAGGCTTGTTCAAGATGGATGGCCTCCCGCGCACGCAGTGGCCCGAGGGCACGCTCTGGCACTCTTGAAGAGCTTCATCATCCAGGCAGAAGAGCAGCAACGAGGATCCTGAGCAAGACACACATACCTTTCGGCTACAGTTGGAGGCCTTGGACCTGAACTTCCCCCCCTATACTACTCCCAATAGGGATCCACATACCTTCTCAGAAGGCACGACTGGGCCCAAGCCAGGCGCCTACATCAATAGTCTCCCTGCTCACCTTACTTCAGGTTCGGTGGCAGTGGATATGATAATTCATTTGGCAAGTGACAACACTTCAACTAATCCTACTAAGTTACCAAGTTACCGATTTCTAGACTCCATTTTACATAACATAAGTGTGGTGGTTGCCGCTGACAATTTGTTTATGTCCTGTTTGATTTGGCAGTTCTCTTATACTCAACCTGTATACGGCTCGAAATTCATCCAAATTCATACTTTGGACCAGCAGCCCGCTGACTTCTTCAGCTGAGCCAGATACAATTCCATTATGTTATGCTCCATTTGTTGAGTTGACATTACACAGAAATTCTGACGAACCACTTGCTATCGCTGATCTAAAGCAGCCTAACTATAGATTGAAACAAGCATCCAAACTCGAAAAGGCATTTCCAGCAAAAGGAATCATGAGCGTTGCAGCACAGTCGAGAACAGGGACACATAAGCACACCCCAAATTCATGGTTCAGGATGCATTTCCAATCTGTTTCTTGTGTTTTT